CTTGGAGCTTTGCTGTGTGAGACCTTTTTGCTGTTACTGCATTTGGCTGCATAAATCTGTTCAGCCTATTTAATGTCAGTGCCTTGCAAGCTGGCTCTCTCTCTCATCCTGACCCTCCACCTGGAAGCTGTTCTTTTGTTGTTGTTGTTGTTGTTGTTGTAGCAGATTTTGAAGCACCAGCCTGTCAGCTCAGTGTGCAGTGAGACCTTCTCAAATATTCGTTGTTTACCTGAGGTATGACAAGGTCCTTCATGTCATTCCTTGCAAAAAAGGGGAATTTCTGAGCCCATCAGCTACAACATCTGCTTCGAAGCCAGAGCTAGCACACATTTTAAAAAGGCCTCAATATGTATTTACACAATAGATTGGTTGTGTTAATTAGAGTTGATTCCACCACTGGTATGCATGCATAACTCCTATAAATATCAGCAGCAGCTCTGTATTCTCAGAAGGAGAACAGAGCTCCTAATTAGAGCTCCAGGATTTTAAGATAGCTGTGTACAGCTTTTATTGCAAAGATTAAGTGCTGTATGCTCTCCTTGTAGCTCTTCTAATGGAAAACAAACGATAATTTTTTAATTTCTTTTTTTTTTTTTTTTTCCTCTGTCTCCCTTTTATTTCTATTGAAGTAACATGAGCCAGTCCCATCCTGGAGCAGCACATGAGCTGTGGGGAGCTTGGTCCGTATTTTCAGGCAGCAGAAGCCATGGCAGGGAGGAGAAGTGCTGAGGGACCACAAAACCCTCTCCCACAGCCCAAAATCTCACGTCAGGACTTCACCTTAGTGTGTGGCTCTTTACAAACATGAATTCAGGTGGTTGGCTTTGCTGCCTCCCAGTCCTGTTTTCAGGATTTTGGGTTTTAAGAGCCTGAAAAGTTTGGAGAATCCCCATTGGATCTTTGTGTCCAGCAGGGTGCAATGGGAGTGCACAGCATGACATTTCCTTGGGGATTTGGAGAAAAGATAATGAACTTTTCCTTCTATTGTGACAATTTTTTGAAAAGCCACACTTGCTCTGAGTGTGTTCCAAATATGGTGGGTGTTGTTTGGTTGTGGGGTTTGTTTTTTTTTTTCCCATCTGATGAAAACTGGAAAAAGCAGCTTATAAAGAAAATGGTGATAAGAGTCCCTGCAATGGAAGCAGTGGCAAGCACTGCTGTAAAGCTTGTAAACAAACAACCCCTCTCAAAGGGGTGTCTGAATTCCAATGGATTCTAATTATCTGCTAGGACAGATAGGTACAAAAAAAAACTACTGATATCAAGAAACTCTGGACTAAAAATATATACATGCTGTAATTTCAGGAAGTTTTAGTTTCTGCCTGTGGCAGGTACTGGGTAAAAGATAAGGTGGAAAATAATGAGCTTTTGTTATTTGTATGTGTAGTTTCGAAGAGACTTATTGTGAGTGAATAAAAGATGCACCATAAAACAAACACTGCCCTGAAATCTTCCTTGGTGAAAACGTCAAAAGCTTGTAGGGTGCTAAAAATGCAGTGTCCTCCAGGCAAGAGCACTGTTCAACAACAGAGGGTTCAGAGCCACTGCTATTAATGTGATATAATAGTTCGGGGCTTTAACACACATTTTAATTAGTGTACTATAAAATTTAACCTCCTATTTAAAATTTCATTCTTTCTCAAAAGAGACTTCGTGTTTATCTTTGTTGTGTGTGTTGTCTGCTAATTCCCACATCCTCTCCTGTTTAATTCACATTCAGTTAATGACAGAATTTTGCAGCCTAATGCGTTCGCCTCTGTTGGTGTGACTGCAAGATATTTTCAATTATAGATTTTTTTTGAATCATGAATCAATCAGGAGCTGGTCTTTAATGGTCCCCCATGAGTCACTTCCAACCCAGGGCATCCTATTGCCAGTGAAAGGTGCTGGCAGGGCCAGGACGTGCTGCTGTACTTGGCTGCATTTTAGGCAAATACACGAGTTCCTTGTGTCAGGATGCAAAGCTCTTCAAGGCATTAATGTACTGGGCTGAACTAACCTGTCCACAAAAACATTCACCAGCCAAATAGGCACCCTCACATAAAAGATCACAGCAACTTATTCAACAATATTACTTGCAGGTTAGATCTAAACCTGGCTGCCAAATGTTGAAAGCCACTATAAAGGCAGAGATTCACAGTTTTATTACATCATTAAAAAAATATCTAGATTCTCCTCTAGCAGGGACTGCAGGCTGGAGACTAACAGACAAGAATAAAATAGCTGGGAATAAATTTTATGTAGCTATTTCCTTTCTCCCTCAAATGTGAATGCTTATGCAAAACACATTGCTGTAGATTCACTGACAATAAAGAGGGAATCATTATACGAGTAGTGGATTCTCAGGGGAACACTTTAACCAAAACACACTCTGCAGTAATTTCCCCCATCTTAGTTGAATAAATTAATTTATGAATTTTCCATGAATATGTTCAACCATTTCTCCCCTCATATATTTTATTGATCTCCATATACATTTAGCAACAAATAACAGAGCTGCTTTTCCATTTGCAGTAAAATAGTTTAGAGATGTTTATGTGGGCCTTGGGGTTCAGAGTAAACAAATGCAGTTCCCACACTGGGGAGGCAGCAGAGAAATAACAAAGCTTGCAAGACCCAGGGAGCTCTCCCAGAGCAGCTCAGCAGAGAGTCAAGGCACAGCCAATCCTACCAGCAATGCCTGAAATCAGAGGGATCAGCCCCAAAGTGTGGGCAGCTCCTGGTGAGTCCAGTGTGCAATCACTGCAAGAGGCTTTGTGACTCGTGCCTGTGAAATACAGAATGTCCCTTTGGTGTGAAAGACTGATAGTTTGGATTTTTCCTTCATTTACTGTTTGTCCATATACCGTGTATCACTTAATCGTCCCTGGTCTGGAGAAAGCCTTAAGGCTGCTTACAGAGCGTAGATCCAGCAGCAGAATACTCCAAAAATGTCATTATTGCTCCCTCCACAAGGCATCTCTGTGGCCTCTCTGAACATCACTTAGGTAATGTCATTAAATCCAAACTTGTGCTACTCATGTAGGTTATTACAGTGAGTAAACACACCATCCTATGGAAAGTATCTCCATGTTTTTCATGGGGGAAGGAATAAACATGTGGAAAAATAATCACAATTATCCTAACTTAATATTTAAAATGATCTTCATATTTAATCTTCAACCCCCAACATCAAACACCTCAAACAAGTGTGGTGGGGATGTAATGTGGTTATTCACCTGTGTAAACTCACTCACATGTGACTGTACCCTGACAGTCTTCAAATTTAGCTCTCCTCCTTGCCCTCAGATAATAGAGCCCTTTTAAGCAGTTTCTTTTCTTGGCTCACTTTTTACCTTTTTGGTTGTCATTTTTATCAATCATGTGGAGAGCTGAGGAAAAACTTGCCTTGCTGTTTCTAAGTATAAAACTCTTTCTTTCTTAACCACACACAATAAGGGGATTGAAACAGGCTGTGCCATCTTAAAGGTGGTATTTGAAGTACAATTTCTGATGCTTAGATACATAATTTACATTTATTATGCATAATAAAATACGTAAGTAATTGATGTTCTGTGAGGGATTAAATGATCAACTCCAGCTGCAGGAAGGAGATTTATGCCCATGGTTTCAGTAAGACATTGACTATCAGAACGTGCTGCAAAGTTGTTGCCTTCAGGACTGCACTCAGGGTGTGTTCTCCTTTCTCCTCCTTTTCTGGTGATGTGCTTTCTCTTGCCTTTGTGCTCTGTGCAAAGTGTATTTGTGGAGCAAACAGATGACAAACAGGTGCATCTATTCCCTTCAGTCTTGGTGTAAAATGCAAGTTGAGCTCACACACGTCCGTGTGTGGCCACATCTCCCAAATCAGAGGGGCAGAACATCAGAGAGAGAGCACAGAATCACCATGGAGCATTGAAGCTGGGAGATAATGTCAACAGGGCAGGATGCAGGCACAGGATGATGGTCTCCTGCTGCTAGATTAAAGCTTGGGCAGAGATGAGCTCTTGTAATAAAAAACAAGCAGAGGCAAAGCCAAGATATTTGTGGTACTATCGAAGAAGGAGGGTGTTTATCTTGTAACAACACCCTGCTCTGTCTCTTGGCTTCCACTGTACTGAAATAACAGAGGGTGATGCTGTGGTTGTCAGCAGTGGTTGCTGCTCAGGGAGCTCCAGTTGCCCTCTGCATCCTCCACAGTCATGCCACGGTCTCAGGCTGCGTGTCCTTCAGCCTCCAGGAGAGCTGCACCAGTCAAAACACATCGTGTTCTGTCACACGCTGTGTGAATGCGTTGGCCTGCTTTTAGATGAATCATGGAATTAATCTGTAACACAACTCGGACTTATCAAAAGGATTTTACAGCCCAGCGTTCCCATTTTCCCTGATGGGAGGCAATCCCTGTGGGAAGGAACACCAGCCTGGCAGCCACGGGCAAAGCTCCCCTGTGCATTAAAAGCCCTCAGATTCTGATCTGGTAAAAGGTGAAAAAAAAATGGAACTGAATTCAGGAGCAAAAGTAGTGTATGATTCTAAGTAACAACATGCAGATACAAAGAACTGTGCTGTACTACTCATGGTTTAATCTTCACTCTTTAGTTTTACAATTTTGCTGTATTTCTGGGGTTGGTTGAATGATGGATGGCTATTTTTAGGAAGGGTTACTGGTAACTCTTAAGGAAATCTGTAGCCATTGGTAGGAGTCATTTAAAATTTTTTCTTTGTTCAGAGAAGCTGAGATGCTGAAGGACCAGTGTCATCAGCTGATGAGCTGGTTTCCTTCAGTTCTCTTTATTTTGAGGGCTGGTATCTCTTTGTGAGCGTTTATTCAGACCAAGTCCATTGCTTGCAGTGGAAGTTGAGAGCTCTCAGCTCCTCAAAAGACCAGAGGAATAAATCAGAGACTGAAGCTTTGTGCCATTACTGATAACACAATTTCTCATTTAATCCACAGCTGCTGTTTTTATATCTTGTCCTAATTAAAAAAAATTTTTTTTTCTTTTTTTTTTTTATGGTTCCAGTGCAAGTTGGAGTTTCATGCCTGTACTTCTGGCAAAACCATCACAGCTCGATGTGAAGGGTCCTGCCCCTGCCTTCCAGGACCTGAAAGTTCAAAACACAAGGTGGAGAAGACTGGTAAGTTGAGCTGTTAATGAAATTATGGCAGATTAATTGATTCCAGCTGTGTTCTTAAAAAAAAAAAAAGTAAGAAAGACTTCTTTTTAACTAGCTTTTTACATGTGTAACACTTTCTGAGAACAAGGTAAGGTACAACAAATCATTTTCCAAACAGTGCTTTCAAAAACATTAACTGCTGCAAAACTAACACCCACCTGATAGAGTCTCGTAGGAAAACTTGAGTTCTGGCTAATGAGTCTCATTTTTGAGTGAAAATACTTTTGAATGAAAATATTGAAGGATCATAAGATAGAAAAGAAAAGAATACAACTTGATGGTCCATTGTTTTGTGAGTTAAAAGTGTGTTAACCAAGAAGTCATTTGAGGTCACACATATGTATTATAGGGACCTGAATTACCATTTAACCTTTATTTTATTAATGTTATGATTAGAAAGCAAATGTATATTGGAGAGATATGTGTCTGTGCTTACGTATGAGATTGTTTCAGTAACAAAGTCACTTTAAATGATGCTCCATTAAGGTTGGAGCCTCAGCATAAATGGCTATTTTCTCTGCCAGCTCTCTGCTGAGTTCCTTAGGTAAGGTCTGAAACCCCGGGGAGATAATTCACTCCCCCAGGTCTTTTCCAAGGAAGCAAGCACCAGCTGTCTCAGAGTGACCTCACCCAAAGGGAATCAGCTCTTGCAGAAAGGACTGACTGACAGCACAAGTCCAACAGCAGGAGGGGGAGTGCCATGGCCAGGCTGTGTCCAAGAGTTTGCTCCCTGCTATGAGGACAGCCAAGAGGAAGGGAAAAGTTGTTACCTGGAGCTGTGGTTTTTTTGGTGTGAGTGCAGATGCTCTGGTGAGAGCAACTGTGGCAAAGTTGAGTGCAAGCCTGCTTTTAAGCCTGGTTTTAAGTCCAGTGTTGTCTCCCCTCTCTTTGGAGTGGTTAACTCACTGGCAGCTGCCTGTATCAGTAGCTCACAAAGCCAGTGTGGTGACTTACACAGGGCTTGCTCTGTCCTGTTAAGCAGTGAAATGTGTTTGTCTTGTGCATCACCCGGAGTATAAAACTCATGGAGCTTCAACAATGGTCTGTTTGCCACCAGACACCCAGGAATTTCTCTTCACTCCTTCTCCTGCCCACTGTGGACACGTTCTGACAGCAGCAGGAACAGAAACAGGGGGGGAAGTTTAAACAACATTTCAGCCTGTTGGCTCAGGCCCTGTCACTTCAGCTGAAAATGCTGATACTCCTGCTGGTGGTTCTCCCTCCACACACCATATCCTCTAGCACAGCACCAGTTTTCATATTAGACCTCCATCTGCTTTCCAGAACAAGTGTTTCTCCAGCCTATATTTTGAAAATCCAGGTTTATTTCGTGTTTTTTTTGGAAAACTGCAGACATTTTTCCGCCCAGCTTTCGAACTTCAACGAGGTATTGTGGATGGCAGTGTGCTGAAATCAATATGGAACTGCAGTATCACTTTAGGTGGCTTGAATCTTCTGGTTACAGTGTGCCCACTGATAAATTGCCTTATTCATATTTTCTATTTCTTGTAGCCTTTATCAGGCTACAAGAAATATTTCTTTTTCTTTGCCCTTTCTATTCCTTTGCCCTTATCAGAAAGAGTATCAGGTTAATAAATCTTCAGTGGCATTTCAAGCTTACAATTTCATTCACACAAGAGAAGAAAGATTCTAATAACGCTTATCTTGATAAATGCAATTTGACAGGGTATATGTATTCTGAAACCCAGGCTTTTGTTTTGCTTGACTCAAATCTTTAACTCCAGCCAACAAAGCATTAATTTAATGAACTGGGTGATCTGCAGAGTAACTTTCCTGGAGGCTTTTCCAAGAGGCCAAACTTGAGCCAGCAGTGTTCCTGCCATTGCCCTGTTGGCAAGGATATTACTATTATTAGGTGCTGAAGTGTCCACAAAAGGATTTGGTCTTGAGAATCAAATAATCAAGAGCAAAGGGGCTTTAGAACTTGCTTTTCTTCTGGTTCTTTGAATGTGCCAATGATGTTCTAGTTAAAGAGTTCCTTTAACTTCCTCAGTCTCCTTTCTTCAGATATTGTCTCTTCAGTTGACCCACTGAGTGAAAATGGAGTCTCAAACTGAATTATTCTGAGTTTTTTTACCTGTTACCTTGGTGTTATCTCCAGTCTTCACACAAAATTATTTTATTTTCCTTATCTAGTCCAATAGTATCATTAATATGGCTGTCTTAGCCTAAAATCAGTAGTTTTATTTCTCATATAAAAATTCACAAGAAAGAACTGTGCACACTCCAGGACTTGGTTTCTGCCCCCTGTTTAGTTGCCAGGTTTGTGAAGTGCAATGTTAAGTAAAAAAACGATAGAGAGCTAAACCTCATGCCTTATACAGGCATGTCAGTGGAAAAATACTAAAGATAATAACAGTGTGAATGCTTCCAGCAAAATGGAAATCTTAGAGCTCACACATCAGCTTTTTTATGCCTATTATACAACGAGGTTAAACACATGTGGTTGTGAACGTCCAGTTTGAAGACAGTTTGCATTAATCTTTACACATTCCCTCAATCACATTCAAATATTATTCCATGATAAATTACTTCCTGAAATTAAAAATTTAAAGGAACATTTAATTCCCAGAGTACTGTAGTTCTAAATGTCATGACCTTTTTTTTTATATGCTTGTGAATAAAATTGGCAGCAGCATCAAAGAGAAGCAACCCAAGTGTGTGTGCTCTGGGGTAACAATTGACTGCAGTGTCTGAGTCGTATTCCTTCCTCCTCCCTGGGCTCCCTAGAAAACATCCCTGCTTTGAGGATGAAAATCATGTTAAAAATTGGAATTCCTTTTATAGTGCCAACCGCGACTATGGAGACATTAACAAAATAACACAAATGCTAGCAAAAGAAAACTACACCTGAATTATTACCTTTAATGGCAAATAACAACAATAAAAGCTTCCTACCATAAAGTTAAATCTTTGAAGAGATGGCAGGATCATGTTCTTCATTTTCTTAAATGGAATTTTGAACTGGAGTCTCGGAGGTAGAAAACAGGTCTCTGTGAGGGTAGTAATGGGAGATTTTGGAAAAGAAGACAAGCCCTAATATTTTACTCTTTCCCTTCTTTTTTTTTTTTTTTTTTAGGCCATTTATATTCCTTTGATTTATCAAAACATTTGATATGCTTCATAACTTGCAGCAGTAACCCAGCTCTACAATAAGCTACCATGAGAGCTGCAGATTTTCAGCACTGATACCCAAAAGTTGAGCTGCAACCTGCCCTGAGGTTACCTGTCCTTCCAAAACATATGTGACCTATTATTTAATACTAAAATATTAATAAGGCTGTAGTTTCAACAAAAACAAAGGGCTAGAAACTGAGTCTGTGTGGAATGTGACAGAAATCATTAAAGACACAGCATCTTGCCTGCTGGTGGTCTTGGGGTGGTCTTCCCAGAAGCTCTGCAATATTAATTAGAGTCCTCATCCAGCATAACTTATTTTGAGACCAGACAAAGCTTCTAAATCCCCACCATAAATAAAGGACTTGAGACGAGAAACACCCAGTTTCAGTTCTTCAGAACCTACTGGCAGAGGGAGAGATTTGTCTCCCTTGAATGTACTGCTCACTCTGTTGAAAAGCCAGCACTGTGCAATGACTGGGTCCTCGTGGCAAACGGGAATTTGTGGTTGCAATAACGTGGTTCTGCCAACTTCCCCCACAGCTCTGTGACTCCTGTCTGTTGTGTGTTAGTGGTGCAGGTGCTCAGGCAGGAGGGTAAAGGTTTAACAGCATGTCAGGGCTCCTTCTGACCATACCCTCTTGTGTTTTCTAAGTTAAGTGCTGTGCTCCCAGCACAGACTCCGTTTGTTGCTGTCAGGGTTGCAGAGCCACTGGAGCGTGAATGGATGCAGTAATTCAAAGGAGGTTTATCCCTGTCTGTGCATTGTGTGCCTTTGACCTTGCAGAAATGCCCCAGGCAACTTCTAAGGAAATTCTGTTCTCCTGATAAGGGGAATGTAAGGTCAATAGGCAGAGGCAAATGTATTCAAATATACCGAGTTGTTTAAATTTCTGAAAGGAACCAAGGGACACATTTTGAAGTTACAGGATAGGTCTTGGCAAGCTTGATCAAGAATCTACCTTGTTTAGGGTATAAATTGTAGCATTTAACTACCAGCTCTATTGGGTGTGATGGATGAGAAGGTCTAATGTTCCATTCCTTTATAAAAAGAGCACTCAGTGCATGAAGTTCATTGGAAGAAATCAAGGTCTTATTTCCCAAATGAGTTGTATCGCTCCTTGTGTCTGAATGACCGACAACTAAAAGGATTTAAAGTCCTGAAATCCACTTTCAGCAAATATTTCTGTTTCATATTGCTGTTCACAGGTTTTCATGACTGCAGAGTGCATCATTTTATAGTTTATGAAGATGAAGGATGAGTCACGAACATGGTTGAGTTGAAATCGGTTCCGATTTGCCAGGAAATTTTGCCTTTTGTGGCTTTGGCTTTGACAAAAAGACTCTTCCTCACACTGAATTTCCACTTAGGTTTTTAAATTGCTTACTTGAATCTCAAACTACAGGAATGATAAGAGAAAAATATTCTAAAATGAAAGTTACCAAGAGTTTTGAACTTTAGTATAGCTCATGAAAACTAGGAGGGTTTTTTCTTTTGGACTTCATCAATAAGTTGTAGGTTTATTAGCTATGCAAGATCTGATATTTTTGCTCCAAAATTTTCTGTGTGAATACCCTGATTCAGCTTTTTTAATTTGTTACAATTTACAATTTTTAATTTGTTACAGTTTACCCAAGTAAACCTGAGCTATGTAGTTTCTCTAAAGAATAATTGTTGCTATTACCAATACTACTATTTTGCCTGCAAGCTTTCACACGAGCAGATCAGACTTTATTCCTTTCCTGAAAACGTGAAAGATTAACTTTTTGCCTTTCTGCAAGACCCTGTCTGTGAGTAGCGAAGTGTCTGCACCCAGTTAATA